TGTGCTCCACATCCCTTGCTTTTCAAATAAATATATGTACATAACAAAAAATTGGAATAAATATTAGAGTACTAGCAGGTATTGCAGGTATTGTATTGAACATTTTCTGTTCTTTACAAAATATTTTTCAGTAGTCCGTTACATTTTGCCAAAATATTTCGTTAAACGTACACACACATGACCACTATAACTAATATTTTTTAAGCTCGTATTCCCCCCTTTGAAGCTCGAATTTTCCAAAAGTGCGCGCTTACACTGTGAAGGATACTATGAAAGGATACTTGAGTCCAAATTTCAGCTTCCTAGCTTTTACCGTTTGGGTTTTTCGTTGATCACCAATCAATCAGTCAGTCAGGACAAACTTTTTGATATATATAGAGATAAAGCAACGTTCTATGACTATGTGCAGAAAAGGGGAATAATTATAAGAGTATATCCTAATTATACCCTGTACCCAAAGGGTGAAATGGTATACTAGTTTTGTGCGAATGTATGTAACAGGCAGAAAGAGGCATGGCAGACCCCACAAAGTATATATATTTTTGATCAGGATGACAAGACGAGCCGATATAGCCATGTCCGTCTGTCTGTCCGTCTGTCTGTATGAGCGCAAAGATCTCAGTAAGTACAAGAGCTAGGATAACCAAAAGTGGTATCAAGGTTCCTATAAGCCCTAGGCAGATCGAGTTTGTTTATTTGTTTTGATCCACCCCCCCCCCCCCCCCCCTATTAACAATTTTCTATAACTCCCGTAATTCTTGGAATTTTGAACTTTTGGTAGTCACATTAGGTTAGTGATTATATATCCGTATACCAAGTTTCATTATGATAGAATGATCGGAAAGAAAGTTATAGCCATATAACCAGGCCCAATGCACACATACATACATATGTACAAGTACACAAACAGGCATAAGGCACGATTCTGATGTAAATGAAAATGTATGTATGCATACATGGAATATTTTATATTTAATTTAGTTAATTAATTAAATTAATTCAGTTAATTAATTAAATTTAATTAATTAATTAATTTAATTACTTTTTTGTGGGGTGGTACAGGGTATTTAAGAGTTGAGCCTGCTCGACTTTAGCATTCCTTTCTTGTTTATATTTAATTTAGTTAATTAATTAAATTAATTTAGTTAATTAATTAAATTAATTTAGTTAATTAATTAAATTAATTAAATTACTTTTTTGTGGGGTGGTACAGGGTATTTAAGAGTTGAGCCTGCTCGACCCTAGCATTCCTTTCTTGTTTTAAATTCAAATTTGTGTCCTTTCATGCCTTATTGAGTCAATACGATCACGCACGAACTCGGAATTTGCAACACGAGCACAAAATTATAATTTTGATTAAATAATGCACGATGCGTAATATGCATTTTATGTTGTTTGCTCTGCCTGCAGAGCGAGAACAGTATTTCTATAATTAGAAAATACTTGAATGCAAAGTTGTAGATTTAGTTACGTAGATTACATTACCAAAATTTGAAATCGATCGGACAAAATTGTTAACACGAAATTATAATTTGAAAAAGTGAATAAATATTAAAACCGCACTAATTTAAGCTCCAAGACCAATTTCAAAAATCCGAGCATGCAGTTTTTTTGCATTCTTTTATAGACTTTAAAGTCCAAATTTGAAGTTGATTGGTAGAAAAATGCGGATTTTTCAAACAAACTTTGGAGCTCATTTTCCCACACTTGATGGGATACTTGTGCTCAAATTTCCTAGCTCTTACAGTTTGGGCTGTGGGGTGTTGAAGGTGTTTCAATTTTTTTACGGGTAAACCCTGAAAAAAGAAGTATGCAGTCCTATATATATTATATCCCTATAATTCTGGCTCCAGGAAATAATCAAGTATACATTTTTTCTTGTATTATGAGAGTGATTTATGAGAGTATATAAACTAAGTTTGAAGTAAATCGGATGAAAATTGTAGATTTTTCCGTTTTCCACCACTTGGATCTCGAATTTTCCAAAATGCCTTCTTAGTGCCTACTTTCACTGGGAGAGAGATCTTGTGTCCAAATTCTTTCTTCCTAGCTCTTACCGTTTGGGCTGTGCGTTGATTGCTAATCAGTGAGTCAGTCAGAGCAAACTGTTTTTATAGCCTGTACCCAAAGGGTGGCAGACCCCACAAAGTATATATATTATTGATCAGGATGACAAGACAAGTCGATATAGCCATGTCCGTATGTCCGTCCGTCTGTCCGCCTGTCTGTATGAGCGCAAGGATCTCAGGAAGTACAAGAGCTAGAATAACCAAACTTGGTATCGAGTCCTAGGCAGGTCAAGCTTATTTTTATACCCTGTACCCGTAGGGTAAAAAGGGTATATTAGGTTTGTGCAAAGCACAGAGTATAACAAGTAAAAAAGCTAAAGTCGGGTGTCCCGACTTTGAAATACTCTGTACATATGTTTACAATAATTATAGAAAATAAAAAAAATTAGGAAAATAAAAAAAAAAATTTGATCGATTTTACCTCTCTCGGTATTCGAACTCACGTAAAGGGTTTATAATTGCACATTTACATAGCAATTGCGTCTGTGAGTGTATGTATGCCTATGCGCATCTATTCGTGTCTGTGTAAGCATTTTCGCAGTCAACTAAACAGCAACTTCAACAACAGCCGCGGGAAGCGCTTGAGCAGCGCTGCAGCAGCAAATATATTTATCACTATAACTTCTCGTTAAATCGGTCTATCATAGTGAAACTTGGCATACGGACACATAATAACCAACTAGTGGTATTTCCAAAATTTTAGTTCGGAATTCCAAGAATTACGGGAGTTACGATTTGCGGGGTAGAGGGGGGAGGGAGGGAAATTCCAAAATATACATTTTCTGCGTATTCACATAAGGCACCTGGGACTAAATTTGGTGTTGCTAGGTCTTATAGTCTTATAGTAGATATAGGCGATTATACGAATGGAAAATCGGGAAAACCCCCATAGGGGGGAAGTGGGGGGGAAAATCAAAAAAATAAAACAAACTCGTATAGAATACACACATAACGCATCTTTGTGCAAAATTTGGTGTCTCTATATAGTCTCTGAGATCCAGGTGTGCCACGTCTCCTTCTGCCTGTTACATTTTTCAGCTCCCGCAAACCTAATATACTTCTGTACATTTCATGTACAGAGTATAAAAACCGACTTCAAGCAATTCTGTCAAAAGTTAATATGCGCTAAAAAGTAAACAAATAATTGCGTATATCTTCTACAATAATGTACATAGGTAGAATTATTGTTATTTTTAGAGTCGGTGTCAGCGGTCGTGCGCCACGCCAGTCAAGAGAAAGAAGCGATACGAGTGACTTGCTTACGAACCATTTCAGATTCTTTTCTCTTACTATATCTACAACGTCATTCTTACGGTAATTCCTTGTGTTAAATATTGGCCATATTTTTGTATCACCGTTTGCTAGATTATGTCTCAGCATAGTGTAGTATTGAATTTCGTTTGTTTGGTTTAATTAGGTATCGGTATTTTTGTCGTTTCAAGGTCGCAGATATTGTCACAGTATGTGTATATACATACATACTTATATACATAGGTATACGTGTATTGTCGTATAAAAGTTAATTTGGACTTGGGTTTAATTAGGTATTGGTACTTTTATCGTCACAGTATATTGTCGTATAAAAATTAATTTGCAAATGGGATTAATTAGGTATTGGTATTCTGTCACAGTATATTGTCGTTCGTATAAAAGTTAATATGTAAAAAAAAATTTCTTAAGAATTCTCATATTAATATTGCTAGGTATTTTGTAGTGTTTCCTTGGCTGACACCGACTCCAAATATAACAATAATTCTACCTACATTATTGTAAAAGATATACACAATTATTTGTTTACTTCTTAGCGCATATTAATTTGTGATAGAATTGTTTGAAGTTTTTTTTTTATTTTGTTAAAATTGTTGATTATTTTTTGATTTCTAGTGTATGTCATGCACAATAACTAATGTGTCTGAATATGGGTAGACCTACCAAACGTGCTGCTCATATGAGACAGCGAGAACTTGAGAACTTTTCATGTCCTAACGAATTCGTCATGGATATGCAAAGACAATCTTAGGGTGTGCAGAGAAATTAATGTCTGGTGCATATTCGAACGCAAGGCGAATGTTATTGCGCTGCTCGTTTGTTGACTCTATCTGTCGCGTTCTCTGAATGTGTCTTTATTCAGTTTTCGCGCAGTTTTCGTTCTCAATATATTTTGTCGGAAACATTCATCACATTGTTCTAAAGATTCTCGTCTGTGAATATCTTCTGTTTTGATTTGTTAAACTGCGATTCTTGTTGCAGCTTGTTCTTCTGACTTTTGACCTCTGGTGCGCTGGAGTCGTGTATTTTATACGGCTTTATACTGAAATTTAAATTTTATTTTACATGATATCTCTTTTAAATTTGAATCTCATCTACCGGGTGCCTTCGCATTATACCCAAAACCTATGAACAATTTGTATGTTTTAAGAACTGGACTAAATTGAAATGGGACCATTCGGGAAGCACCAGCTTTCAAATGGTAAAAGAACCATCAACATCAGTTCACCCAGTCGAAAGTTGTGAGGTAACAATACAAAATACAGTCGAATTGAGAACGTCCTTCTTTGCAGAACCTAACCAAACAATCATAAAAAAACAAACTTAACCTGCATAGGGCTTAGGGGAACCTGGATGCCAAGTTTGGTAATTCTAGCTGTTTTTTCTTCTGAGATCATTGCGCTCATACAGACGGACATGGCTATATCAATTCGGTTTCTCACCCTGACCAACAATATATGTATATACTTTGTGGGGTCTGCCATGCCTTCTTCTGGCTTGTTACGTACATTCGCACAAAACTAGTACAGCCTTTTACCTTTTGGGTACAGGCTATAAAAAGCACGATTCAGTGGCGCAGCAACGCAAGCCGAATACTCTAGTACATTATGAATATAAAGTTAAGCAGTAGTTAGTTGTAAATGAACAAAAGGCTCTTTCTAATACTTTCTGCAATGTTTTTTATTGAAGTTACTTCTTAAACGGAACCAGCAGCGCTGACCACCCAGGAGCGGAGGACTGCAACATCGGCATATACACCGGGGTATTTGGCAGCTGCGCAGCCATAGCCCCAGGATACGACACCGACCAGTTTTCCACCGGAAACCAATGGGCCACCGGAATCACCTTGGCAAGCATCCTTGCCGCTGGCAGCAGCGCAGATCATGCTGGACTTGATCTCAGAGCCGTAGCTGTAGGTGCTGGAGGCACACTGGGCTTGGCTGACAATTTTCACATCGACATACTGAAGGGTGGTAGGGATAGAGCTGGATCCAGAAGCCTGAGTGCCCCAGCCAGACACAGAAGCGGCGGCGCCATTAGCGGGAGCGCTAGTGGCCAGAGCGATTTCCTTGATGGTAGAGCTCAAGCTCAGAGCGGAGCTCAGGCGGATGACAGCAATGTCGTTGACCATGGTGTTGGCGTTGTAGCCTTCGTGGTTCTTGAATGCAGCAACAGCGACGAGGGTACCGCCAGAGTTCCAATAGGTGGAACCAGCGCGCACCTTCAGGGATGAAGCGGATACACTTTGCAGACAATGGGCAGCAGTCACAATGATCTTGGAGTTGTAGATAGAGCCACCGCAGGAGTGAGAGCCACTGCGCTGCAGAGAGATCTGCCACGGGAACGAGCTGATGGTGGTGGAGGAGCCGCCAACAATACGACCATCCAACTGGGGCAGCATGCCCTCAGGAATGGCAGCACCGAAGGCGCAAGCAGCGAACGACAACAATACCACAAACTTCAACATTGTGTGACTACAATGAAATTCAAGTTAAATGTCGCCCCTTTTATAGTAAGAGGTTCGTCTTAGCCTACAGTCCATTTTTGAATTGTAGCATTAAAGTTGATTAAATAAAAACAAGATAGTAGAATGCTACCATCGAGCAAGCCCGACAGTGAAATACCCTATAGCCAAACAAACTTTCGCCTTTGTTGTCAAATTGTATCGCTAATATATAAATTTTCTAAATCGGTTCACTTGGATGTATGAAATAATTAAATATGAATTACGTGTCTCTGAAACTTTTGACAGTAGAATAAACTCGTGTTGGCTAGGGACTAGAAGAGCCCACAGAAGCCGTTTTCAAAGTCTAGGCGTTCATCGGTAGGACGGTAGGACGATGATTAAGAATATATATATATATATATATATATATATTTATATATATATTTATATATATATATATATATATATATATATATATATATATATATATATATATATATATATATATGGTATCGGAGATGCTTTCTATTCCCTGTTTTATATTTTTGACAAGCCTTAAATACCATTTTCTCTTCGGCTACAGGGTATACAAATAGATTTAGTTTCCCCCAACCTCATATACTACATATGTATTATTTATTTCCTTTTTACAAGTACCCGTAATGACGTAATCTTTTTTTCTATTTCAATAATTATAAGCCTAATAGATATAATTTAATATTTATACCCTGTAACCAAAGGGTATGATAATTCAGTGCGAATGTACGAACATACAAATGAATATATGTATGTATATTCTTGATATGAATGAAAAGACTAGTCGATATAACATTCGGCCATCCGTCTGACCGCCGGTCTGTGTGTATCAACGCAAGGATTTTAGAATGAATAAGTGTCAGAAGAAAACATTTTAGCATTTCTGTATACATATGTATGTATATATATGTATGTATGTTTTGGGAATTTAAGCGAATATTAGCTTACCACTAACTTCCACCCCAATTGGTCTAAATATAAGTTTATGAGCTTACGGCTAACCATGACTACTTGTATTTACATACGTATGTGCCTTTCCGGTTGATAATGTACTAGTATGTCCAACGTATACCGATAGTGGAAGGCCCTAATTTTTGATTCCAAATTGAATCATAGTAAGCAAGCGGATTATTGGATTTTAATCTACATTCCCATCTTGGGCGAATTTGTGTTTTCCGCCTTCATAACTCATCATTCTCATTCTTAAACAAGTAAAAAAGCTAAGGTCGGGTGTCCCGACTTTGAAATACTCTGTACATATGTTTACAATAATTATAGAAAATAAAAAAAAAAAATAAAAAAAAACAAGTAAAAAAGCTAAAGTCGGGTGTCCCGACTTTGAAATACTCTGTACATATGTTTACAATAATTATAGAAAATAAAAAAATTAAGAAAATTAAAAAAAACAAAATTTGATCGATTTTACCTCTCTCGGTATTCGAACTCACGTAAAGGGTTTATAATTGCACATTTACATAGCAATTGCGTCTGTGTGAGTGTACGTATGCCTATGCGCATCTATTCGTGTCTGTGTAAGCATTTTCGCAGTCAACCAAACAACAACATCAACAACAGCCGCGGGCAGCGCTGCAGCAGCAAATATATTTATGGCTATAACTTCTTGTTAAATCGGTCTATCATAGTGAAACTTGGTATACGGACATATAATAACCAACTGGGGGTATTTCCAAAATTTTAGTTTGAAATTCCAAGAATTACGGGAGTTACGATTTGCGGGGTAGAGGGGGGAGAGAGGGAAATTCAAAAATATACATTTTCTGCGTATTCACATAAGGCATCTGGGACTAAAATTTGGTGTTCCTAGGTCTCATAGTCTCCGAGATATAGGCGAATATACGAATGGAAAATTCGACGGACAGACGGACAGACAGACAGGGCTAGATCGACTCGTCTTGTCACGCTGATCAATAATATATATACTTTGTGGGGTCTGCCACGCCTCCTTCTGCCTGTTACATTTTTCAAACCTAATATACTCTTGTACATTTCATGTACAGAGTATAAACATTATGGCGGCTATTTATGTGTCGGGAAAAGAGAAACAAAACAAAGATATTTAATCGAAAAAAGTCGAATTGTTTTTCAAAATATTCTTCACTACTCTTTTGCATTTGTTAAACCAATATTCGCAGAACTTCTTTCATTCAGAGACAGTAACCCCAAAAAACTCCTTTCAAAGGCTTAAATATCTTTGGATATACGAGTATTGCCCTAAAAATAAGTCATTGGGCGCGAAGTTAAGACATTGTCGTGGAGGAAGATTTCTCTTTGGCGTTAAGTTAGGAATTTAAGTTGAATTCATTGTAATAGAAATTTTGGTCCATTCGGTTGCAATTGACAAAGTGTAATTTTGTACAAATTGATATACCCTGTACCAAAAGGGTAAAGGAGTATACTAGTTTAGTGCGAATGTATGTAATACACAAAAGGAGGAATGCAAGACCCTCAAATTTTTAAATTTTTATAATTATAATTTTAAAAATTAAAAAAAAATGTATTTTTTTGTGGGGGTGAGTACAGGCTATTCCACTGCTCGACTGTAGCGTTCTCTCTTGTTTTAATTTCTATAATTATTCTACACATATGTACAGAGTATTTCAAAGTCAGGACACCCGACTTTAGTTTCTCGACTTGTTTTTTTTTTTTAAGTGGGTAAAGGCTATGTAAGAATTTGGCCCGCCCGACTTTAGAATTCCAATCTTGTTAGAGATAATCATTACAAATGAAATTTGATACAGTAGTTTGTGGTGTGCTATCTTGACATATGACAGAAAGAGACAGATCGTCTACCTTTGCGACTTTCCGCTTATTTGCGAAAGTACTCATTCATATAGAAAGCGGAAAGTTCTCATATATATAGTATATGTATACATACGTATACATTGGCTAAAAATTGGTGACTCTAGCTCTTATAGTCCAGGCGAGATCCAGGTGTTCATACGGACAGACAGCCAGATAGGGCTAGATCGACTCGTCTTGTCATGCTGATCAAAAATATATATATATTTGTTACATTTTTTTAGCTCGCGCAAACCTAATACAAGTATATAGTACATTTCATGTACAGAGTATAAAAAGAATCAAAAGTTCAGGCTTTGTACGCGCGTGCTAATTGTTCTTCTCCGCTCTGTCTTCAGCGTCCTGGAATATGTGACTCTCAGATCAAGTCAAGTACCGTATAAGGCTGCAATCTCGATCTAAACCGGAAGCGAAGGTTGATACTCAATGAAGTTTTATTTTCAATGTTTGTCCATTCTTAAGCGGAATATTTTAACAGGTTATCTGAGGTACGTGCTCCGTTTTTGGTCGATTTCACTTAAAATGTTAGTATCGCTAGCGCTGACAGTTCATTTCATAGACGCCGAGCAATGACTTTTTGAAGCGCGTCAACAGATCTTGATTACTGACTACTGTTAGTTAATCTGATAATGATATGATTTTTTTACTTTACGCATAATAATGGTGGTACAAATGAAGAACGGGCAAGTAAAAAAGCTAAAGTCCGGTGTCCCGACTTTTAAATACTCTGTACATATGTTTAGAATAATTATAGAAATTAAAACAAGAAAGGAATGCTAAAGTCGAGCAGGCTCAACTCTTAAATACCTTGTACCACCCCACAAAAAAATAAATAAATTAAAAATGAACAAACTCGTCCTTTCTTTTAGTTATTCTAGCTCTAATACTTTCTGAGATCCTTGCGTTCATACAGACAGACGGACAGACAGATGGACAGGCGGACATGGCTATATCGACTTGGCTTGTCATGCTGATCAAGAATATATTACTTTGTGGGGTCTACCACGCCTCCTTCTGTGTGTTACATGTACACCCGCACAAAACTAATATACCGTTGTACCCTTTGGGTACAGGGTATAAAAACTACGAGAATTAAAAAAAAATTTTGTTCGATTTTACCTCTCTTGGTATTCTAACTCACGAAAAGGCTGTATAATTGCACATTTACAAAGCAATTGTATGTACATATGTCTATGCGCGTCTATTCGTGTCTGTGTGAGCATGTTTGCAGTCAACCAAAGCACCAGCATCAACAGCTGCGGGCAGCTCGGCTCGTCTTGTCACGCTGGTCAAGAATATATATACTTTGTGGGGTCTGCCATGCCTCCTTCTGCCTGTTACATTTTTGAGCTCGCGCAAACCTAATATACTCTTGTACATTTCATGTACAGAGTATAAAAACTATTAAAAGTGATATTGCGACTTCTAAACACCTTTAAACAGTCGCAAATTAACCGGATATTTTCCAGCAATTGGGCAATGGGTCTGCTCGTATAACTGTCATGACTCAAATTTGGCAAATACATTAGTGATAGGTGTGATAAGTCAATTTGGAAGTTATAGCCATAAATGTAATATCTGCCCAAGCGCTGCCAACAGCTGTTGTTGTTACCGCTGCTGTTGGCTCAACTGTGTACTGCATGGACAGCGTATATATGTAAATGTACAGTTATATACGCTTTACGTGAGTTCGAATACCAAGAGATATAAAATATATCAAAAATTTGTATACATGAAATGTACAGGAGTACTTATATTATTATATTTCCAGGAGGTGATAAATGTAACAGGCACAAGGAGGCGTGGCAGACCCCACAGCAACATAAACCAAACTTTCTACTTTTGTTTAAAATCTCAATTAAATCGTAAGAAAAGTTATTAGTGAAAGAATTTCACTCCAATGTACAGGGTACATATTTTACTATCTGGCGTGTTCGACTGTAGCGTTCTCTCTTGTTTTATGTGAAAACTGGGACCCTTTGGGTCCCATTTCAATTTGGTCCAGTTGTGACATGCAATGAACGTCCTGCGAGCACCATGCTCTTGACTGATTAACATTACAATTTCGATCTAAGTTCAAGGCTTTTGCTCAATAAAATTGAATATTCAAAGACTTAAAGTATTATTATTTGCACGAGGCATGAGCTCCTAATTCTTTAGAATAGTATTTTATCAGGTAATCAGAGACGCGTGCTCCACTTTTGTTCAATTTTAGTTGAAGTGTTCGCAGCGACGTAACGTCGGAAATCGAACTGATAGACTACACATTCACATTATATCGGGCTTTTGTGCGGTAAATACAAGTACGTAGTACGTAGCACTTAGGCGCACTTTTTTGTTGTTTTTATAAAAATAATTTTAGCAGCTAAACAAGTATACATTCCCGCCTCAGTTATCATAAAAATAATCCTCTTAAGGAGCGGGCACCGTTGATAAAGTGTTTTGATTCATTTTAACCTGATAACGTGGAGTGGAATATAAAACAGATTAACATATTCAAGTCTTGAATGACAAACCTAACAATTTGATTTGTGTTTTAGTGGCCCAGACATCTTCTAGAATTAATAATTGTACAGAAAATGTGCTGTTAATATAATAAATGTACAAGTATATCGAAACAAATTTTAAAGCGCTGTATATGTCCAAATACTTAGTTACTGGCCTACATTTAAGATCTTGTTGCTTGTAAGCAACGTTGGGCAATGGTGGTATATAAATGAAATTACTCTAAACGATAGTAGTTTTAAAGTTTATTATAATATTTTGTGAAATTAAGTATCTGATGGTGTTCATATATACTCCATAGCGCTGAAGTTCATCGTTCTGTCAATGTCACACGCACTTGGCCGTATCATGAGCTACGCATGGGCCACGCATGTGCATATGAAGCCAACGCAGGAAGCTATTCTCAGCTATTGTTAGAATAGCGGCCGCGCATGTGCACAAAACAGTATCAAAAGACAAAAAAATAAACAATTTTTGTGTTATTAGAACAAAAGTGGACCATCCATTTAAGGCATTTGGATATGGAGTTCCCGCTCTGCACAGCCTAAAATGTAACCCAATGTTCCATTTTATAGTAACGAATTGTATCTATAAGGCTGGGCTGGAATTTATACTTCGATGAGTTTTGCGTAGACACACTGCTGGCTGGGGATATATAAATGAACAAGAGAGAGCAAGAAAAAATTAAATTATTAAAAAAATGAATTAATTAATTAAGTAATTAAAGTAAATTAGAAGACATGTTTTTGTTCAGTTTTAACAGCATACATTTACATCACGTGCCTATTCGTGCTTATATGAGTGTATGTATGCAGCACACAGTTGAACCAAAGCAGCAACAACAACATGAGCAGCGATTTTATTTATGGCTATAACTTTCATCAGAATTGACCTACCATGATGAAACGTGACACACGGACACATTAGTACTAGCTGGATGTACATACCAAAATTAATTTAAAAACTCCAAGAATTACGGAATTTATACACAAAAACACGAATAGCGGGGGAGTGGGGGGTGTATCAGAATAAAAAAATAAACTTGACCTGTCTAGGACTTAGGGGAACCTCGATACCAAGTTTTGGTTATTCTAGCTCTTGTACTTCCTGAGTTCCTTGCGCTCATACAGACAGACGGACATGGCTATATCGACTCGACTTGTCAGCCTGATCATTAATATATTTACATTTGGGGGTCTGCCACGCCTCCTTCTCTATGTTACATACATTCGCACGAAACTATTATACCCTTTCACCCTTTGGGTACAGGGTATAAAAATCGATGCATAGTAGATGCATCGAAAAAAACATCGATGCATCGATGCTTAAAAAACTAACTTTCCATAGAAAAATATGCTTATATTAGGAAGAAAATCAACCGAAATGCTTTAAATGAAAAATGTATATACTATATAGCGAAACCTGCTCAGTTTATTTTATTCGGTCTGGATGTAGCTGAGCATATCGGGAACAGCTAGTGACTAAAACAAACACAATATTTTAATTTGTATGATAAATGGTACGAGTATAAAAGAGTACAACGGTTGATTCTGAAAATGCTTAAGAAGCTTGTTTAATCAATGGTTATGGTATTGGCTATAGGGCCAGACAGATCTGCACAGCTTTTTGAGTTAATGCGTAAAGCTTTGCAATTAACGAAAAGTTCTGTCTCTTCGTAAAAGCTTTCTCTTACAACTTTTCGCAACTTTTCATCCTATCGGATAGCAATGCTGACTTTATGAAAAGCTTTTGATTGCTGATTGCCGCTACTGCTTGGCGGCATTTAGTTGTTTTCATCCAACGAAATGGCTAAGACTTTTTTGATCAAATTTTTGCTATTTTGCAGTATCCTTCTCCTGCCTATTGTTCTTGGAACCAAGATCGATACACACATTATTGGCGGCAGTGAAATTTCAACCTTCTTTATACCATATCAGGTCTCTCTACGACGGCGTAGCAGCAGTGCCAGTCCATATGCGCATACTTGTGGTGGAAGCCTTCTGGACGAGAACACTATTCTTACAGCTGCTCACTGTGTTTACAATCGGGCCGCCTCCGACTTTCTAGTGGTGGCGGGAAGCGAATATCGTGCAGACATGGATGGCGTGGTGACACGGGTGGAACGTATATTGCCACACGAGTTGTATAATGCTTCGATAACTGACAACGACATTGCATTAGTTTTCATATTCCCACCGCTGCCACTTACACATGAGAAGATTGCACCCATACAACTGGCACAGGCAGCACCCGCGGAAGGTACTATGGCCACTGTGTCCGGTTGGGGAGACACCACAGAGGGCGGGTTTCCATCCACACATCTGCAAAGAACGCAGGTATTGGTGAGAGAAAGCGAGAAGTGTCAGGAAGACTATTACTGGCGGCCCATAACCGACGGCATGCTGTGTGCAGGGTACAATGGTGGCGGACATGATGCCTGCAATGGGGACTCTGGTGGACCTTTGGTTGTCAATAAACAGCTAGTGGGGATTGTGTCATGGGGAGAGGGATGCGCACGCGCTGATTTTCCAGGTGTCTATGCAAATGTGACGCATTTTTTGCACTGGATTGCTGAAAATCGTAGCTAAGCGGCGGCATGAGCTCGTCACAATAGAATCGAAAATATTACGAAATTACCTGGTAAACTACTATCGGCAACAAGTTTTATAACACCAATAACTAAAACCATTACTTCTTACTGTATCCAATCAAATTTACAAGCAATATAATTTGGATCGATAAGAGTTTGTACAATTTAGACAAGCGATCGTAATCCATTTTAGTTGTGTTTCATTCTTCGATATGTCGGGTTCACTGTTGCTATTTGCCCAGTGCTTGGCGCTTCTGTGCGCTTTAGCCTGTTCGCTCCCAACTGGCGATTCTGAGGCAGAGTCTCTGGATTCGCGTATTGTGGGTGGTTACATAACTAATGTAGCACTGCATCCACACCAGATCTCATTGCGGCGAAAATCATTGGCAGTACCGTATAATGCTTTCTCCCACATCTGCGGTGGCTCTATCATTGCCAGCGACAAGGTGGTGACGGCTGCCCACTGCATCATTGCATCTGTTCCTAGCCAGTATAAAGTGGTTGCGGGCACCAATTTCCGGCAGGATACCGACGGCGTCATAGTGAATGTACAGGAGATTATTATGCACGAGGGCTACAATAGCAGCAGCTATGAAAACGACGTGGCTCTACTCATACTCAGTCCTCCACTGCCGCTGAACAACCACACCATCAAAGCTATCGAATTGACAGAGACAGAGGCGGTGGCGGGCACAATTTGCACCATTACCGGCTGGGGCACAACATCCTCCGGTGGCTCAGCCTCCAATGAACTGAGGGCCGTTGATGTGCCAATTGTGAGCAATGATGAATGCAACGATGACTATGGTAGCGATAAAATTAAGCCATCTATGATGTGTGCTGGTGTTCGTGGAGTTGGCGGCAAGGATTCATGCCAGGGAGACTCTGGCGGCCCACTAATTGTAAGCAACAAGCTGTATGGAATAGTATCGTGGGGTAATGCCTGCGCTCATCCTAACTATCCCGGAGTTTATGCAAATGTAGCAAATTTGCTAACCTGGATCAAGTCTAAAGTGCAGTTGCCCTAATTGGCTAATCTACTTATAATTTTGTTAAATAAATTCGTTTTTCGAAATGGTTGGCGACCAAACTCTGGATCAAACTCTATTTATCTATATATCTATTATACTCTCTATTATACTCTGTACCTGAAAGGTAAGGTTTGTGCGTAGTGTAAAATGTAGCAGTTAGGAGGCGGGCAGATCCAACAAGTATAGTCGATTTACCCAAGTCTGTAAGTCTGCACCTCTGTCCGTCCTTATGAACACCTAGGTCTGAGACTATAAGAGTTAGAGAGACTAACTTTTGCACACAGATGCCCTATATGAGTACGAACATTAAATCTTTTTCCATAACTCCTGTTGTTGTTGTTTCTGCTTTGGCTCAACTCTGTATAATAGGTATAGAGTATTTCAAAGTCGGCAAATGTCCTACATAAGCTATGTATGTCTGTTTGTCGTCCGTATCTCGTACCCGGATCTCAAAAACTATAAGAGCTAGAGACACTAAATTTTGAACAGAGATGCCTTATGTTTGTACGCTGTTCAAGATTGTTTTATTTTTGATGCACCCCCCTCCCCCTTCCCCCTAAAGAAGATTTTTGGTAACGCCGTTCCATAATCATCTATGTATATCTCGGAGGCTAAAAAAGTTAGACACCAAATTTTAAATACATGTTATTCTATGTGAATACGCAGAAAATGTGGAATTTCATCCCCTCTCCCCACCGATATTACCAATTTGAATGGAAGGGGGATTGGGGGGTATCAGAATAATCAAGATAGAACGCTATAGTCGAGCAAGCCCGACAGTAAAATACCCTGTACTCTCCATAAAAAAAAAAATTAAAAACAAACAAAAATTAAAAAAAAATCATTATTTAATTTAATTAAATATAAAATATTCAACACATGCATATAATAAATTTACATCAGAATCTTGTCTGTGCGTGTTTAAATGCGTGTATGTATGCAGTACAAAATTGAACCAAACTGCAACAACAACAGCTACGGGCGGAGCTGCAGGCAGAGCATGCGATTTTATTTATGGCTATAACTTTCTTCATAATTGACCTATCATGATGAAACTTGGTATACGGATATATAATAACTAGCTGGGTGTTAATTCAAAATTCCAAGCATTACGAGAGTTATAGAAAATTGTAAATAGGGAGGAGTGGGGGTGCATCAGGAAAAATGAACAAACTCTTCCTTTCTCGGGCTTAGGAGAATCTAGATACCAAGTTTGGTTATTCTAGCTCTTATACTTTTTGAGATCCTTGCGTTCATACAAACAGACGGACATGGCTATATCGACTCAGCTTGTCGTCCTGATCAAGAATACATATACTTTGTGGGGTCTGCCACGCCTTCTTCTGTGTTTCCCATGCACACTCGCACAAAACTAATATATCCTTTTACCCTTTGGGTACAGAGTATAAAAATAAACTGCCTAGGACTTAGGGTAGCCTCGATGCCTAGTTTGGTTATTCTAGCTCTTGTAGAGCTGAGAGATCCTCTGAGATTCTTGCACTCAAGTTATAGCCATAAATATATTTGCTGCTCAAGCGCCGCCCGCAGCTGTTTCCCGATATTCCATTCGTATAATCGGCTATACCTCGGAGACTATAAGTCCCAATGACACAAAATTTTAGTACCAGACGTCTTATGTGAATACGCAGTAAATGTGTATTTTCGAATTGCCCTCCCTCCACCCTCTCCTCCGCAATAGACCGATTTAACAGGAAGTTTTAACCATAAATATAATTGCTGCCCGCGGCTGTTGTTGATGTTGCTGTTTGGTTGACTGCAAACATGCTTACAGAGACACGAATAGACGCGCATAAACATACATACACTCACATAGACGCAATTGCTATGTAAATGTGCAATTATACACCATTTACGTGAGTTCGAATATCGAGAAATGTAAAATCGATCAAAATTTGTTTTTTTTAAGTTTCTTAATTATTTTTTATTTTCTATAATTATTGTAAACATATGTACAGAGTATTTCAAAGTCGGGACACCCGACTTTAGCTTTTTTACTTGTTTTTTATAACTTCATGATAGGTCAATTCTGAAGAAAGTTATAGCCATAAATAAAATCGCTGCCTGCAGCTCTGCCCGCAGCTGTTGTTGTTATTGCTTCTTTGGTTCAACTTTGTGCTGAATACTTACGCGCATGTAAACACGCATAGACACGATGATATAAATGTATGCTGTTTAAACTGTATATAAACATGTCTTCTGTGTATGTATTAAATAAATTTTCTTTATTAATTTAATTAATTTATTAAATTTTTTTTAATAATTTAATTTTTTTTTATTTTTTATTAATTTTTTTTTTTGTGGAGAGTACAGGCTATTTTACTGTCGGGCTTGCGTTCTCTCTTGTTTTAATATCTATAATTATTCTAAACATATGTACAGAGTATTTCAAAGTCGGAACACACGACTTTATTTTGTTTACTTGCTTATAACATAATTTTGAGTTTTGCGCAATTACGGGGTGTACTTCCATAAATTGGACGAAAATTTCGTCCTGTTGCGGCTATGTTTTGCAAAAATTAACATTTGAAATGGAATTCAGAAGTTACAAAAATGTACTTATAGTTTACCTGGTCGGTATTGTATATTCAAATCGCAGTTTATGACCATTCACATTTTCGCTAACAAACAGACTTTCCCAATCGGCGACACACAATTTTCGGCAAGTTTGTTTAATTATTACACAGTTATGTGGTACTTATTTGAAATAAGAATTGCGTCAATTATATATTTTATTTTTTTATACCCTGTACCCGTAGGGTAAAAAGGGTATATTAGGTTTGTGCAAAGTATGTAACATACAGAAGGAAGCATCTCCGACCCCATAAAGTATATATATTCTTGATCAGCATGACGAGAGAAATCGATCTAGACATGTCCGTCCGTCTGTCCGTCCGTCTGTCCGTCCGTCTGGATGAACGCGAGGATCTCAGAAACTATAAAAGCTAGAATAACGAAAGTTGACATCCAGATTCTCCTAGGTCCGAGTAAGGACGAGTTTATTTTTTTTTTTTTTAATTTTCCCCCCCTTCCCCCGCTGCAGAATTTCGTCAATAGCGTCCACATTTCAAATGTTACCTAAACCAAACTTTGCACACATAATTTATATATAATTGTCTACTGTTTTTCAAAATTTTATTCAATTCGGTCAATTCTAAGAAAAGTTATTAGCGAAACAAATTCTCGACAGTACAACCCCCCCAAACTGCAGCAACAAGTTCGCTCTTCTTCAACCTCTTTTTGCTGCTGCTCTGGGCGCATATAACTCAGTGACGGAAGTTTACCTGGGTACAGGGTATTACACTGTCGGGCTTGGTCGACTGTAGCGTTCTCTCTTGTTAACTTTCGTTTAGATCAAGAAATAAGAATTATTTCAGCGAAATGTGATGTTCGAAATTTGTAAATTTCTTTTTGAGCCTAGCGGGCATCTCAATTGCTTGCTTGTTTTGGATGAATTTATTCAATTCGGTCAATTCTAAGAAAAGTTATTAGCGAAACAAATTCTCGACAGTACAACCCCCCCAAACTGCAGCAACAAGTTCGCTCTTCTTCAACCTCTTTTTGCTGCTGCTCTGGGCGCATATAACTCAGTGACGGAAGTTTACCTGGGTACAGGGTATTACACTGTCGGGCTTGGTCGACTGTAGCGTTCTCTCTTGTTAACTTTCGTTTAGATCAAGAAATAAGAATTATTTCAGCGAAATGTGATGTTCGAAATTTGTAAATTTCTTTTTGAGCCTAGCGGGCATCTCAATTGCTTGCTTGTTTTGGATGATGTGTGTGAATGTGTTTTAAGTATACATTTAGTAATCTATATATATAAAACAGTTTGTCCTGACTGACTGACTGACTGATTGGTGATCAACGCACAGCCCAAACGGTAAAGGCTAGGATGCTGAAATTTGGACTCAAGTATCCTTTCATTGTCTAGGTCCCCACTAAGAAGGGATTTTGGAAAACTCGAGCTCCAAAGGGGGAAAACAGGCTCCAACGTTTGTATGAAAAATCTACAGTTTTCATCTGATTAACTTCAAACTTAGTTTGTATACTCCAATTCCAATTCCAAGAAAAACTGTAACTGGTTTTTTGATATTTTTTTTGGGGCCTAAAATATGGGAGTTTCCTGTAAAAAAAATGTTGGGGCACAAAAGCAAACCGCGTCAACAGCCCACAGCCCACACGGTAAAAGCTAGGATGCTGAAATTTGGGCTCAAGTATCCTATCATGGTGTAGATGAGCATTAAGAAGGGATTTTGGAAAATTCGAGTTCCAAAGGGGGGAAAATTAGCTCCAAAGTTTGTTTGAAAAATCCGCATTTTTCAACCGATCGACTTAAAACTTAGTTTCTAAAATCAATTAAAGAATGCAAAGAAAACTGCATACTCGGTTTTTTAAATTTTTTGTTGGAGCTTGAATTATTGGGGTTTTCTTGGGGCACAAAAGGAAACCGCGTCAACAGCCCACAGCCCAAACGGTAAAAGCTAGGATGCTGAAATTTGGGCTCAAGTATCCTATCATGGTGTAGATGAGCACTAAGAAGGGATTTTGGAAAATTCGAGCTCTAAAGGGGGAAAACGAGCTCCAAAGTTTGTTTGAAAAATCCGCATTTTTCAACCGATCGACTTAAAACTTAGTTTCTAAAATCAATTAAAGGATACAAACAAAACTGCATACTCGGAATTTCGTTTGGAGCTTGAATTATTGGGGTTTTAATATTTATTCACTATTTCAAATGAAAAGTTTGTGTTATAAATTTAGTCCGATCGATTTAAAATTTGGATAATGTAATCTACGTAACTGTAGATTTAGTTACGTAGATTACATTATCCAACTTTGCATTCAAGGATTTTCAAAATATGCATTTTACAAAAGCAGGCAGAACAAACAATACAAAATATCAAACAGTTGGGGACAACTAAGTATACATACACACACACACACACATGCAAACAGCTGTTCGTGTAGTTGCGTGCAAACGATTGAAATAGCCAAAGCAACATGTGAGACACTAATGTGTGAATGTCCATACATATGTGCACAT